AAATTCGGTAACCATAAAAATATGTACACATGGTAAATTGTTTGTTGACGCTTTAAGGAATACTTCTGAAGCGATTTATTAGTTTAACACAAACTATAAATTATTTAAATCCACAAAATAATTAACGAGACACAACCACACAACTAAACACAATGCACAGAACGTAAAAAATCTGCCATTTATATGACCAGAGACGTCACAACCAATAGAATTGCGTTTTAGAGATTCATAAATAATTTGAATTTTAGCCGAATTTGTTTATTAAATATTTAACAAAATAGTAAGCAGGGTCCGCTGCTAATTAACCGAGGCGCTAGCAGGGGCTATAGCCCCGGGCTTCAACCTTCAGAGGGCTCAGCAAACTCAAAATTTCCCAAAAAATCACATTTTATTGCTCTTAAGTGGGTCCCATATTCATTACATTCCCGGGTTTCGTAAAACTTTAATCCACCCTTGCCGATAGCCTGTAAAATATTTCGATTTTTCCAAATGCAACGCTGTTTGGGGGTGTGAAACATTATTAACTATGTATCATGGTAAAAGTTTGGTGGATCTATATTATAAATAGTTATCCACCAGGAGCTTCATTCATCAATTTTCAAGTTTAACATTTTGAGTCAGTGGTGTCGTTTGTTTATTGGAAGAAAGTATTATCCATTTCTTTCCAAATTGTAATTTGAAAACTTAGTCAATAAAATAATGTCAGTCTAGTCACAATCATCAGCACTACTGATTCACTACGGCATATACTTCGGCCCGGTTCCACCATCTCCGATTAAAATGTTAATCTTTGATTAAAACTATTTAATCAACACTTTGCGTTGATACACAGGCTAATTACAATCATCAGCACTACTGATTCACTACGGCATAAATACTTGGATATATTTAATCCATTGAAAAGTCAAATTCTAAATTTCTGCAAAAGCTGTCCATGAAAGTTTTACGCGTTTAAAACAGATAGATTTTTACTTCAAATGCAGTATTCAAATCCAAGCCTGTAAAGACTATAGGTAAAATAGTCGCCCAAGTAATCGCTCAATTGTATGATTAAATTGAATAAAATTTGTGGAGATTTTCTCCATGTTACGCCTATGCCAGTCAACCACAGAAACGGCGACCATTTTAAACGTTTTTTTTTGCCACACGCCCAAAATTGAAATACAGGTTGTGATAAGTTTGTTTTGATTGGGACCGACGTCATTGCTTTCAGAGCTAAAAGCTTGATCGATATGCATCTTCGAGCAAAATATTTTTCTTCAATTTGATTATTGTTGCAGAAATTTGAAGAATTGAATATACGAAAGTCTCACAAGGCTCTTGCAAAATTATTGGTCTTGGTCTTGTTCTTGTACACATAGTCTTTTTCTTGCTAACCAAAGATAGTCTTGTCTGGGTTTTGAACACTTTTTTTCATTAGGGAATATATATTTCGTTTTGTTCATTAGCCAATATGTAGATACTACTTAATGCTGATAACACACAAATTCGATGGAATTCGGTCATGAGGAGTTAATAACCTTAATATTATTACTATAATCGACTAGGACTGGCATGTTCCGTAAATGTGTCCAAAAATTATAAACGTTTTTATTAATCAATTGGATATATTTAAGCGTCAGGACCTGTTGGACCATTCCGCTATACATTCGTATAACGGCTTATTTCTGCTTACTTTGATTTATGTAAAGTTGTCCTGTTTCATTGAGCAACTTATTACATACAAAATATAACTTTCTACTATTTTTTGCTTCCTTAATGCTCGGTTCCTAATTAGAAAAAATGTTGTTGTCTGACCGATTTTAAATGATTACAAATAGACGTTAAAAAAACTTATATGATAGTTATAACGTACCTTATTTAACACTCCACTTACATTATACCACCGACAGTTACAAGAAAAGGAAAACTTGCACTGACAACAACAGTCTGTTTCTAAGCGTCTTATATAGACTCCAGACCCCACAGTAATAAAATACAAATTATTTAAGTGGCTAGACTTTATTAGATAATGGATTAACAAGTATTCATTAAACATCTCCTATATTGTGTTTGATTGCAAATTTACCTTGGTATCAAATGAAATTGTTATGTGGACCACGATCTAGTCCAAGGATCTTTCATGAGTATACAGGGTGATTCAAAATTGGCGTCATTCCTTTTAAGGGGTGATAGAGACTCCCTTGGAGAGTACGAGAAAAATATTGAAAATTATGTTCTTGGAATTTTTTTTTAAATAATTACGATAATTACGGCAGATTACCTTGAAAAACATTGCTGCCGTATTTCTGATATAGTTTTTTGGAAATTTCTCAGTTTTTAATAACAATTAATTTATTTTACTATTTTTTCTGTACTCCCAAGACACCAACAGGCAACACCTCCAGAGGACTGACGCCAATTTTGAATCACCCTGTAGTTCGGTGTGGGGTTTCCATTACATGATACACATTTGATCTTAATTGCGAATTAAATTGTAGAAATTTTCACGCTAGGATTATTTAATGCTCAGTTCGTCTGCGGCGAATTGTTGCCAATTTGCTGCCCAATATTATATTAGTGTGTAAATAGTTTACTGCAGGACTATTTTTTTTAATATTTTGTGAGGGTTAATTTTCGCAAAAAAATACACTTGATTCAAATTTAAGCGATTTAAAAAAGTCTTGCACGATTTCCATCAATTCCAACAACACGCCCAGTCATTCCCGGAAGTACCAGCGCGCCACCTAATTGTCCCAGCTATGAAGTAGCCCCGATGTTGCTACTTCCGTTCTTATCCCGTCTCCCAGTGTTGCCGTCCCGCCGTGGTTTCCCTTATTTCCGGAGTTGCTTACAATTTTTGATTTATTGTAGAAAATATTCGCTCTAAAAATGGATTGGGTGGGAACATAGACACATCAAGATACAATGATACGAAAGTGTTTTTATTGATTCTATCCCCTATTCTCCGAGCAAGCTCGAATGTTTGCTTATACGGATCTCATGTCATTCTTCCAATCCAACCTTTTCTGAGATAACATAAAGTTTTTCCAACATTGAGGCTGCGTCGTTCATACTGTCCGCTATCAAGACGATGTCATCAGCAAGTCTGAAATTATTTATGGCCGTATCCATCGCCAAGCCCCTTAATCGCGACGATTAACTTAAACGCGTTTAAGAACTAATCTGGTTTAAGAACCCAGTTGCTATGCACAGTTGAAATTCAGCGGTGGATTAGTTAAGCCTTGTAGGGATATGACAACCGTAAAAATATGTAGAATTATTTAACTTAAGGATAACAAAACTTAAGGTTAACAGAACAGAACAATTTGTTTCTGACTAAAGTTGAATAATGCATGTTGCGAGCTGTTATTGTTATACTTTTACGTAGTTAAAAACCGTGATATCATGGAAAAAGGAAAGCAGCCTCATTGTATCACAAAATAAATTTGTTATTGAAACCAAGAAGACCGCAGAACTTCCTTGCATATTAAATTACAAGCGTAGAAAAAAATGAAAGCCATTTTAATTCCAATTCACAGAGTTCCTGGTAAAACAAAACATTCAAGTCAAGACAGGGTAAACATACCCTATGGATTTCGATAAACAACGAAAAAGTAAAAAATGCGAAAATCGCGTTTTTCTTCAGAAGCAATCGGATATAACTCATATAACTCGGTAATTATGCATTTTGCAGAAAAAATGTATAGGTAATCATTAATTTTTTCACTATGAAATATTCGATAAAATAGAGTTGGTCCGATATCCAAAGATTTGAAATGTTCGCTGCAAAATGCTCGAAAGCGCAAAAAAGGACGTAAAAAACACGGTCATTTTAAATTATTTATTTAACAATGAAAAAATAACCCAATCACGCCATACATTCAGAAAAAAGTACTTGACTGCATTGCAACTATTCAATACTATTCACATTTGTCATTTCGCTCAGGTTGACCTTGAGCTGAACTATAGTGAGAATCGACCTTAAAGTTGTGACAAAGGCCTCTACTGCATTCTCCAATTCATCACCTAACTAGACGAAATTACAACATTTCTATGTAACTTGCAATTTAATCAATTACTGTTTTTTTTACATCTCAAAATGAGCTGTATGTTATTTGTAAAAATGTTTACAGAATTACCTTAGTTTTTCGCAGAAACTTGGAAATAGCTGAAAAATTGACAAAAATCACCACCTACAAACATATTACGTAAGTTATGAACTGACTAGCGAGCTCAAGAATGTTTCAAAAAGGTCTGAAAATCCCTTTGCATAAATTGAGTATAAAATTGATCCCCTGACAATACACTGTAGCAATTGCAGCAGATTAGAAAATTGTTCTTACAATAGTCTCGCATTAAATTTATTCCATATTAAGTATGAGTGGCAATGAAGTCACCAAGCTTCTTGATCCTTTTGCCGTTTATTCTTTCTTAGTTTGAATATTTCCCTCGTATGATAAACTGTTCATTTGAAGTGTGCAATTATCGAAAAATTACAGCGGTAATTGCACAGTGTGCAATTATTACTTAATGATAATTGCATTGTTTACGAAAAATATTTGTCATGTGTTTTTTCCTGTTGAATTAGGCAACAATGCTGTTGAAAATGTCATCTAACCATTCCTAAGTTATTCAAATCAGACAGGGTGATTCCAAATTGGCGTCATTCCTTTTAAGGGGTGATAGAGGCTCCCTTGGGGAGTACGAGAAAAATATTGAAAAATTTTTTTCGAAAATTTCTAGAAGATATTAACAGTTGAAGATTGAATTTTAACTTTGTTATTAAGCATTATTTTGAAATTGTTCCATTTTTAATTGGTAGCATGTTGGAATACTTAAGCATTCAAAAAGAAAAATGACCATCTTTGCTTCAACTTACGAAAATTTTTGATATCAAAAAAGTTTTCTTCTACAATTTTTTGATGAAAAGGCGCAACGGCAATGATGGTTTTTTTTTCAATAACAGATAGTTACAGGTGGATAACCCCCGTCAATAATAAGAATAATTTGTCAAACTGTGACTTACTTTGAATTTCCTTTCACGAATTTGCGGATACTGCGCAACTGTTTAGGTTTTATGAGACGGTTCCAAAAAGAACGGTTTAAATTGGCAAACGGCTGCAGTTGGAAGATGCTCGACGGTGTCGCATCGGTTCTGTGCTGTTGCGAACGTTTTTTTCGGGTTTATAAGACGGTTCCAAAAACAACCGGTTAAATCTGCTAGCTGTAACTACGGTTTCTGGTTACGCGTTTGTAACAATGTTATTTTAGCGGTAACGTTAAATACCGACCATCCCTAGTTTTTATTTCCCAACATATAAAAGATGTGGCGCGCTGTGTCGCTGTATCAATACGACAAGCTGTATCAGTGTCGCTTTGTGAACACCTGAAAATCCACTGTGTTACCCAGGTCCATGTCCAACAAACTAACCCAACAAAAACGAGAGACGCCGCTTCATCACGAAGTATGATGAAAAATAACAGTTCTAGGAATTTTACAAGATATCAAGCTGGCAAAGTAATAGGAAAAGCATGGATGAGAGCAGCCGGCGTGGAAAACGGTGTTATTGATTTAGAGCATCCGGAATATTTCCCTAAGACCCGAATGTCATATCGGATCATTTTTGAAGTGATAACTTTTTATGGGAGGGTCAACCGATTTTTCTCGGTCACGACGGCTCCCACTCCGACCTCTTCGCGCCTGACGCTTGGGACCTACTTAGTTAATCTATGCTTGGGACGCACATATGCACTTTGAATTCGACATTTTTCTCTTAGTGCGGGTGCATCTCTAGATCTGATAAACTTTTCAAATACGCATTGCGTTATTAAACTGACAGTGATTTTGATTTATTAATTATTGAGTGTGATATTATTGTGTTCGGTGTAGTCAATCAACAAATTATCAAGGGAGAAGCTGCAGATACTGAAAATACTAGGAGAAGGGTGCTGATGTACTAAATACCTGTTCGAGTTTCGCCTTCTTTTAAATTTCCAATTAAAGTACACACACAATTATACACACTAAACCAGTTTAAATGCAAAAAAATGCGGATCGTCCATCAATTTGCAGAAAAATGTATTACAAACTTTTGAAAATCTTCAAATGACCGGGTATTTATCATTGCAAATGAGATTACACATTGCCGTGCACTGTTAAATATTGTTTTAATACAATAAAGTTTTTGAAAAACTGTTGGACCTATTTTCAATCGCCTGATTGATTGTGGACGCAAATTCGTATCAAGAAGAGATTAAATTAAATTAAATCGTATCGATAGACTCCCGGTACCGATTCCCTACGTCTTACTCTCCGTCTGTAGTCCAGATGCTGCCCAGATCATGTCCATTTGCATTGTATTGCACGATTCAAATTTCCGAACTGGTAAAATATTACTACCTAC